GCCCAGGTCTGGTTCCAGAACAGACGGACCAAGTGGCGGAAGCGGCACGCGGCGGAGATGGCCTCGGCCAAGAAGAAGCACGACTCGGAGACAGAGAAGCTGAAGGAGAGCTCGGACAATGAGGACGACGACGAATACAATAAGCCCCTGGATCCCAACTCAGACGACGAAAAAATCACGAGGCTATTGAAAAAGCACAAATCCACGAACCTATCCCTCGTCAGCCCCTGCAGCACCAGCTCAGACACCTTGTGAGGGCGGGCACTGACGGCCGCTCCGGGGCCGGCACCGCGGCAGAGACGAATTGTAACTGGATGTTTAAAGTAGTGTGTTGTACAGCCCGAGATGTATGTGAATTGTATATATTTTTTACAGAATAAGTTATGAAATTATTTTCCTTCTCATCGATGTAAATTTCAGAGGAATTTTTCCAACTTTTTGGTTTTTGTTTCGTGTCCCTTTAAGGTTTGCCCCTCTTCCTTTTAGTCTTCTTGCCAATTTCCTGCTCCTAACAATCAGATTTTGTTACGTTTTGTATGGGTCGCCAAATCCAAGCTCAGCCACTTTGTATATAGTAAATTTCAGATTTTGTGATGTATATTTCTAGTGTAAAAACGGCTGTTTTCTTTCGCTCCCTCTACTCAGTGTTTTGGCGGTTTGATTTCTCCTGCTTCCGGATTTTATGCTTAATAATATCAAAAGAGAAAACAACCCCAGGATTTTATGCTTAATAATACCAAAAGAGAAAACAACCCAAAAAAGCACGAGAGAAAAATGGACACTTGATTCAAATTGGGTTCAAATAATGTCTCCACATGGGTTGGAAAGACTTTGTATAAATCAATAAATTATTTAACAAGCTTCTCCTTGAGCGAGTTTCTTCCCGCGTTACCCGTTTTCAGTCCCCGTCCTGCCCAGCGGCCGCGGCGCCTCTGCCGAGCTGGGGGCGGATTCGCCTCCGCTCCGCGGGGTTTGGCCGGGGAGCGCGGAGTCCCGTACCTGTTGCAGGGTAATTTCTTCTTTCCGCTTCGCTGGTCCGGGCGCCCCGATTTTTTAGGGGCGCTCTCGCCCGGCGGGGACGGTCGGCCGGCGTCTGCCCTCGCCTCACCCCGGCGCTTCCCC